ACGGGGACATGGGCACCGTGTGTGACAGCACATGGACATGGGCACCGTGCGGTGAGGGCACGGGCACAGGGACACGGGGACATGGGCACCGTGTGGTGAGGGCACGGGGACATGGGGACATGGGCACCGTGCGGTGAGGGCACAGGCACAGGGACACCGTGCGGTGAGGGCACGGGCACAGGGACACGGGGACATGGGCACTGTGTGTGACAGCACAGGGACATGGGCACCATGTGTGATGGCACATGGACATGGGCACTGTGCGGTGAGGGCACGGGGACATGGGGACAGGGACATGGACACCGTGCGGTGAGGGCACGGGGACAGGGACATGGGCACGGGGATATGGGCACGGGGACATGGGCACCGTGCAGTGAGGGCACGGGGACATGGACACGGGCACGGGGACATGGGCACCGTGCAGTGAGGGCAGGGGGACATGGACACGGGCACGGGGACATGGGCACCGTATGGTGAGGGCACGGGCACGGGGACACAGGCATGGGGACACAGGCATGGGGACATGAGCACCGTGTGTGACAGCACAGGGACATGGGGACAGGAACATGGGCACGGGGACATGGGGACAGGCACAGGGACATGGGCACTGTGTGGTGAGGGCACCGGGACAAGGACATGTGCACAGGGACGTGGGCACCATGTGGTAAGGACACGGGCATGGGGACAGGGACATGGAGACAGGGACAGGGACATGGGCACTGTGTGGTGAGGGCACAGGGACATGGGCACAGGGACATGGGCACGGGGACATGGGCACCGTGCGGTGAGGGCACGGGCACATGGACACGGGGACATGGGCACAGGGACATGGNTGGGCACCGTGCGGTGAGGGCACGGGCACATGGACACGGGGACATGGGCACAGGGACATGGGCACGGGGACATGGGCACCGTGCGGTGAGGGCACAGGGACATGGGCACGGGGACATGGGCACAGGGACATGGGCACTGTGTGGTGAGGGCACGGGCACACGGACACGGGGACATGGGCACAGGGACATGGGCACCATGCGGTGAGGACATGGGGACACGGGCACCGGGTGCCAGGGCTTGGTTGAGGTTTTGGGGCAGGGTTGGACTCGATGATCCAGGGCTCTTCCAACCCAGTGGTTGAATTCTGGGAATTTGGGGGAATTTTGGGAATTCCCGGGGTTTGGGAGGTGGTGGAGCCACCACCCCTGGAGTTGTTTAACCAAGGCTGGAGCTGGCACTGGGTGCCAGGCTTGAGGTGAAGTTTTGGGGCTGGGTTGGACTCAATGTTCTTGAAGGTCTTGGGCTGGGTTGGACTTAATGATCTTGAAGGTCTCTTCCAACCCACTGATTGAATTCTGGGAATTTGGGGGAATTTTGGGTATTTGGGAGAATTCTGGGAATTCCTGGGGTTTGGGGGGTGGTGGAGTCACCACCCTTGGAGGTGTTTAACCAAGGCTGGAGCTGGCACCGGGTGCCAGGCTTGAGCTGAGGTTTTGGGGCTGGCTCAGAGCCGACGCTGCCGAAGGTCTCTTCCCACCTCTGAATTCCGTGGATTTGGGATTTTTTGGCGCAGGAAGCGCGAGGAGAAGCTGGAGTGGATGTACCAGGGCCCCGGGGGCATGGTGAGCAGGGACGAGTACCTGCTGGGACGCCCCGTGGACAAGTTCATCCTGGCCAAGGTTGGGGACAAGGACGGCGAGCTGGGCGGCGACGCGGCGCTGCCGCCCGGCTCCGGCGGCGCCCGCGCCGGGCCCGGCTCCGTGCTGGACATGGCCACCAAGATCCGCGAGGACCCGCTCTTCATCATCAGGTGTGCCCGCCGCGGGGATCGCGGAGGGATCGGGGATCGGGAACGGGTCGGGGATCTGCTGTGGGGAATGGATCAATGAGCTGGTATGGGGAATGGATCAATGAGCTGCTATGGGAAATGGATCAATGATCTGCTGTGGGGAATGGATCAATGAGCTGCTATGGGAAATGGATCAATGAGCTGGTATGGGGAATGGATCAATGATCCGCTATGGGGAATGGATCAATGAGCTGGTATGGGGAATGGATCAATGATCCGCTGTGGGGAATGGGTCGGGGATCCGCTATGGGGAATGGATCAATGAGCTGCTATGATAAATGGATCAATGATCCGCTGTGGGGAATGGATTGGGGATCCGCTATGGGGAATGGATCAATGAGC